CGGTCGACAGCCGCTCCCCATCGCCTGCATGACTGCCTGAGCCCCACCTCCTGTCAGATCTGCGGTGATTCTCACAGGAGCGCGAACCCTGTTGTGCACTGCGCGAGTGAGGGGTCTGGGTTGCGACTCCGTGGAAGAATCTGATGTTTGATGCTCTGCCCCACCCTGTCCATGGAAAAACTGTCTTCCATAAAACTGGGCCCTGATGCCAAAAAGGGCTGGGGACAGCTGGTCTACAGGACAAGGAGGGAGGCCCCAGAAGGAATCAGCCCCGTGACCCCTCCATCTCGGACCTCCAGCCTCCAGAATGTGAGAGGACAAACGTCCACTGCGTGTGTGGCCCTGCCGTGGGATTTGTTACCGCAGCCAGAACTGACGCATACAGCAGCACAGACTCCATCGAGAGTGCCTGATGGGAGGGAGGGAGCAGGCCAGAGCCTTGGGAGCTGCCCGAAGGGTGAAACCCAGCCCAAGGAGCTTCTAGACCCAAGGTCACTCGGATAGAGGCCAGGATCCAAGAGAGCTGGACGGGCGGGGCAGGCGGGCAGGAGCCCTGTCTGCCAACAACGGGAGCCCCGCCCGAGTGGCCTGGGACAGCCGGGACGCTTGGGGCTGATGGGATGCGGCGGCTGCGCCAGGTGGCTCGGGGGCCAGGCTCCGCGTGCAGACAACACCCAGGACCTGCGTTCTTCCTTGTGCTCCGCTCTGCCGGACTCGGGGTGGCTTCACCTGTAGCTCCAGGCATCCCACCCCGGGTGACGTCCCAGACAGGCAGCACCTTTCCCCTGGAATCAGGTTACCTCCCAGAAGCCCCCAGAACACCTCCGCTCACAGCTCACCAGGCAGAAGAGGGCCGAGCTCGTTCCTGGCCCAGCTGCTGAGGGCGGTGGTGGCTCCTGGATGGGATGGAAGCGCCTGGCCCAGCGGGCTCGGCCTGAGCCACCACCCAGGCGGCCGGCTGGGTGACCCAGGGATCCTGGAGCCCGGGTCTAGCGCGCCAGAAGGGGTTGGACAGACACTGGTCAAGTCCAGTGTCCGGACTTGAAGGAGACGGTGGCCAAGGCAGCTATGGCTCTCTGTGGCCCCAGTGGGGGGGGGGCAGGAGGGAGGGCTGGGGGGATTCGGAGCAACTGCCAGACAGGCCGGACCTGAAGCAACGGGCCCACCCTCTGACAGGAGCCGTGCTCACCCACGCTCCCTGTCCCCAGATCCTGGTACCTTGGAAGGTGGCATAAACTAGCTGGGTTAGAAATGGTCCCAAACCAGCTTCCACTTTAAAATTTGCTGTTTATTTTTCTTCCAATTACAAAAACAATACATTATCAAAATAGAGAACTTCAAAAATAGAAAGAGTCCCCCCCTAAGGAAAACCACAACAAAGACCCTGGGTGCCCCCACCCAGAGAGATCGCCGGGGTCTTCCTGGCACTAGGGCATAGCCCTGATGGCGGCCGTGAGGCGTGTGCCTGGCAGGTTCCGGGCCCGCAGCAAGGCTGTCGGCAAGGGGACACTCCACACACACCAGAGTTCAGGAGGACAAAGCCCAGGGCCTGCCCTTCCAAATCCACAGGGCCCCGCCTGAGCAGATGCAGGAGGTTAGCTGGGGGGGGGGGCC